TTTCCATCTTTTAAATGCATTCATTGAGATGCAGATGTTGATTTTTTCAATAAAGATGTCCAAAGAGGAGTTGTAATATAAATTATGATTTCCAATATTCTGAAGGTTTTATGTTTTCTGTCCATAATTTTTACCATTTTTCTTCTTGTAGCAGGTCCTTTTTTTGCTATGATGGTTTATGCCTATTTCAGGAAATTATCTCCTAATGAAAGAAAAATATTTCCCTTTTTAAAAGAAATAACTAATGCATTTGGTTATCCACATTTCTAAAACTGTAGTAAACCTATCCTTAAGTGCTTGCCTGGGCTTTTTTGAGGATGGTAAGGACTGCAAATTAAAACTTGGAGCTTGCTGATGCGGGTTTTTTCCTCTCTCAAAAAATTTGCAATGTTTCAAATTGTGTCTAAAGGACTCATCAGACCCTTAGAATAAAATCCTTGTGATATTGAAATCACTGGAAATTTGCTAGTCATTGGACAGCATCCATGGGATCCACAACTAAAGAAAATAATGCCCACAGAAATGAAGCAGCAATGTGCATGCTAATCTGTGTTTCAGGAAAATTATAAAGGGAATGTTGCTGGGACTGGTTGTACCATTAACTCTCAGGTCACCTGTGTGCGTTTCTTATGCTCTGGGAAAAACAAACTCTTCCTACCACTGCCAAAGCTCTGCATTTTTTCAAGTGTGGCTGTCAGTGGGCAGCACATGGATTACGTATAGATTTTCTGTACAATTATTGTGTTACAAAATCAGCCTGGCACATGTAAATAGAGTTGTAATGGAGCAGTTCAACAGACGGAAGAGGAATGGGTGGAGAGGATGATGCTCAGCTGATTTAGCCTTCCTGACAGAAGGAGATTAATATATCAATGATATCCAGGTGACTTTCTGATAACAAACTAACTTGAAAGCTTCTAATACAATTTTCTTCTGCAATAACAAATCTCTGGCAGTTACAATATCTGAATATGCAAATATGCAGGAAAGTAGGAATTTTTTTTTTAAATCTTATTCACCTTTACCGCTAATTATACAAAGTATTGCACACACAAGCAAATTGAAACACATCTTGTGGCTGTCATAATAAACAGTTTCATCAAAGAACATGAATAAAAAAAAATACATTTAGTAGGGGAATGTAGCCAAAGCAGCTCGTTATGACTGTAGAGTAACGTTAATATATATGACTGTATAGCAGGATGATTTGGTGAATTTCTTAACTACAAAAACTTCGTCATTAAGATAATATTATAACCTTCCAAAAGCATGCAGGGAATTATGATACATGGTAGGAAGTCGGACCCAGATTCTAATGAAAATTTAGAGTAGTATCAGATAAATTCTGGTTTTAGAACTCAACAATTATGCATAGTTCATAAATTGTGACTTCAGGGTTTAAACTGGAGCAAGAAAATTCTGAGTAATACGCAGTTTCTGAGGTTAAAAAAATGTGCAGAGCTAAATTTTCAAGCCATGGTAGTCATCGGGGAGTTTTAGTGTGACAAGGCATGAAAGTGGATGCTCTTGTCATTTCAAACCTTTCATATCTTTGAGCATTTCTCCATTTTTCTGTGTTGATGTTTCTAGGTTGTGGATGTCTTTGATAAGTGTACACTGTCCTAGCTCTGTTGGCTGCAGTCTTAGCAGCCTTAGCTTGTACGCCAGTTAAAAATAATGCCCCTTTATGTCTCTTTCAAACAACGTCACCTTTTGGTGGAAAAAGGGGCATTTTTATATTTTTGAACTTAATGTCTTGATTTCTTCTCCATACAAAGACTCATCTTCCAGAAGTACTTTGAAGCCTGAGAAGTTTGTGACCTGTTTTTGAAAAGCATGGAGCAAACCACCATTTCTCAGTGGGAATTGTGGATGCTTTTTAGAAGCATAGGTCATTGGGCTTTGGTAGAAATTTTCCCTTGGAAAGCAGAAGGAACAAAGCTTTCCAGGCTTCAAAACCACTTGTGGATAGTTCCTCTTTCGCAGAATGCAAATGCACATGGTTGTCAATAGTAATATTTTTCAAGCTTTATTAAACTTATTTTCTAGGAATCAAAGGTGATTAGTCCATTTTTTTTTTTTATACTGGAATAGCAGTTGTTTTCTTACTGCAAACTTGGTAATTTCAGAAAAATACACCTGTCTATTAGTATTCTTTCCTCTAAGAACTACAGAAATTACATCCTAAAGCAATAAGTTGGACAAATTGACTGAAAGGTATTTAAAGAGACATTATATTAAATGGCAAAATACTTAGGTGTTATTTTTTGTTGTTTGAAGGCAGTATGCCTTTATGTTCCATGCCTTCTTTTGTATTGAGAAAACATCTGTCTAATTAAATACTTGGCATAAAATGTTTGTGCAACTGCTAGTAGATTAGAGGATGTATTGGCTCAGAATATATATAATCAATTCAATATACATGAATGAATATCATATCAAGATAAAATGAGAACATCTCCAATTCCCAAGAAAAATCTTTATTGCATGTGGTATGACTGGTCCTAATTCTTTAAGCAGCAGTAAATAATAAACAGATGCTGTTGCCAGATTATAATTCACAATTAGAGTTTTAATTGTGTGAACTCCATGTTTGCTTGTCTGATCTGGGGAATTGTGTGGTATTAAAAGACTCAAGAAATTTCTTTCTGAAACTGTTCATTCTCTGTGCAGTCATAATTGAAAGAGGTGTGTTCACCTATCATTACCTAGCTTCTGTCTCAAGTCTTTATGAGTAACTCATCTGTGGAATAAGAAGCTACAGAAATAATTTCATCCCCTCCCCTTGAAAGAATCTCCAATACGGAATGAGAAATTAACCCAATTGCCCTTCTTTCCAAATCATTGCTGGTTACCATTTCACAGGAAGTGCATGCTTTCCTCAAGGTTGTTAGTACTTTGTGCTCATCAGTGGCAGCGAACAGCTTTTCTCTTTTGTCCCCTCATCCCTCTTCTGCTCTGTTTTATTTTGTTCCCTTCTCTTCTGGCTGGGAGCAGTGCCTACAGCTCCGCCGCAGAATGTGCAAGTTGAAGCCGTGAACTCCACAACCATCCAGTTCCTCTGGAACCCTCCACCCCAACAGTTCATCAATGGTATTAACCAAGGATACAAGGTAAGTAGAAACATGATTTCCGTAACTTCAGATAACATTTGCCTTAAACAGTCCTGGTATATAACGATTAGAAGTTGAATCTAATAATCTCTGAATCTCCAAAGTGACTGTGTATTTTCAGGGGTATCATACATGAATAAAATGAAGAGACAAGTGAGCAGTTGTTGCTCCTAACATTTGCTAGTTTCTGTAAGTTTTGAAAAGGGTATATGGCATAGGCTAGAAGCCCTAATACATATGTCATTTACCTGGAGAGTTTCCAAAGCCAAAAAGCAGTTCAATGTCAAACGGTTTGGAAAGTCAACACGGGAGATATGTCGTTGTGCCACTGAAAATCAACCTTGAGATTTCTATTTACTCTAATGCAAAATTCCCATTCATTTCATTAGGAACCAAGACATCACACTAAATATTTGTCTTAACTTTCCCACTGTGACGATTTGGGAGATATAAGAATGTAGAATTTATTAATCATGCTTGATGACTCGGAGTTAGCATGATAAGTCCCTGTTGATGGGGCAACTGGCAATATCTATTACAGGACGCAGAGTAGAGAGTGCTTAACAGAGCACTTGCTGGTACTTTGACCAGTGGAGTGTATGCTAAGAAGGTAGCTGGAGTGGTTTATTTCTGTCTCTCAGGAAGCACTGCTTAATAGACACTCCTTCAGCGGTTTGGCAATAGGGGCATAATAAACAAAGGGTTTAAAAACATTCATGGAAAGAGCAAAGAGAAATCTGGTAGGAGTCACAGAGCAGGGAAGGGAAGACAGGTATCTTAAATGAGTGGGGAGGAGGAAGGTTGATTTAGGTGTTGGGTGAGGGAATGTTGGGTGAGCTGAGAAGGATGTGTAGTTCAGAAGACAAGCTGTGGTGGATTGTAGGTGGGTTTTAGAAGTTTAGGAAGACTTAATCCTTCTCTAAGAATTTCTTGAAGTGATGGAGAAACTGAGACAGAGGTATGCATGGGAGTTTGAGCATTTTTCCCATCTATAGATTTCTCATAAAAACCAGTGATGGTTTCAGAATACCGCTGCTGAAGTACTATATACATGTAGGTGGGTATGTCTGTTTTTCCCAGAGATGGAGTCAGCTCTCAAGACTAGGTGACTGACAGGGCTGCAACAGTATATCCTGAAACCTCAGTACGAAAGTAGTACTTGGCTTCTGTTCAGACTCTGGAGAATAAAAGCACTTTTTGGGCTCAGTGGACTGCAATGCACTATAATTTTCTGATGCAAGTCCAAGCACGGTGAGCTCAGTCAGATTTGCAAAAGTCATATTTCAGATTTTTATTCTTTATTTTATTCAAACAGACTCTCAGTCTAAAGATCCTTATTCTCATGGCATAGCTACCTCTAATTATGTTTCGTTTTCTTTAGCAATGGTGTAAAATAACTAAAATCACAATTTTTGTCTGTGGTCAGTGAAAACTTTTGAAATTATCAAAATTTCTCTTTCCTTGGATTTCTTTGATTGCAGTAGATTGCAACAGCTTTAGCATTCCTGTTTCTCATAGGAATTGTGAATTGTAGTACAAAGACTGTGTGAGAACATTTCTGTCAGTGACTTCTTTTGCACAGTTTTTTGTATGATTTATAAATTACCAGTAGTCAAAGCTAGGCCTTTGTTTTTCTGTAGGATTAAACACATTTTTTCCTTCAACTGACAGAATTGTTCACCTTTATTTTCTGCACGTTTCCTGAAGACTGTGCAATGAAATGTACTCAAAAAAGAGAAGTTCGGTCCTCCAAAGTTATAAATGCCAATTGTAATCCACAAAGGTGATTTAGAAAAGAAAATAAAACTTACTATTCCATCAACCATTTTCCCTTTTTATCTTTTCTTTGAAATTTATTTGCATTTCAAGAAGCTGTAAAGTGCACCTTTTCAAATATGAAATATTCCTATCAAAATTACTCCTTATAGTCCTCTAACTGTGCTTTCTGATTATCAGAAACTATAGACATTGGCTAAATGTGTCAAATATGGCTCATCAATTTCAGGCATCTATTCATGTTTATGAGCCTGAAATCAATACAAGTAGCAGGATTTACACAGATACAGAGTAAGGCTGAGAATTTTAACATGCTTATATAAGAGACAAAGTAAGGATTTTTGGACAAAATAAAAATTTCATAAGCACTTTAAAGCTTTAGACTCCTAAGCCGTTAAGGCGATTTCAAAATTTGTGTTAAGATTTCAAAGTCATTTGCCAAAAATGAATTTTTTAGGTACCTACACATAAGGTACTCCATTCTAAGAAGTACTGATCACCTAGAAGATCCACTGAGATGAATGAAACCTGGAAAAACTGAGTACATCTGAGAAGCACAATACTTTAAATGCATGAAAACGCCTTCAGGAGTCTAACTTTTGGGACCCAGGTGTTGAAAATTGTAGTAATCATCTTTACAACCATTTTCTATTCTTTCTGTAGTTCCAGAATCACTTGAATCATTCACAGTTTGGATATCCCCAAACCACCGACCATTGTAATACTCTCAGCCTGTAGGCAAGGCTGGTCAATGGGATGCTGCGGGGGCTGTGGGACGGGAAGGAGGATTTCCCCCCCTCTCTCTCCTCCTTATCCCACTAACCTCCTCAGCCAGTGGGATCTTTAAAGGAACCCTAAAGTAAGACAAACATTTATCTTGGAGTAGCACTGAAAGTACTTTTTTTCCTTCAGCTTCCTTTCAGCAGCAGAGGCTGTCCAGGCTGGTCAGAGCAGTCCAGGGAGAAACAAAAGACTCATGTCACACAAATAATCGTTCACAATAATTTTGGCATTGTTCAATAGCAGACAATGAGAATTGCAATACCTCCACGGTATCAGTATATCCCCCATCACTAGTGAGTATTATACACATCCCTCCAGTTATCATAGTAACAGTGTTATATCCATCTGTTCAGTGTCAGAGCTGACAGTAGTTTAACAGCATTGCTTGTTTTTTACAATCAGATTAAGATGGGTTTGGCAGCCAAGCATACTTTGATTCCAAATAGACACAGCTTCTAATGAGAACTCATCCACGTTTAAATTTTCTAGCTTCTAGCATGGCCAGTGGATGCTCCAGAGACTGTGACGATGGTCACCATTGCTCCAGATTTTCATGGTGTTCATAGTGGCTGCATCACCAACCTGAAGAAATACACTACATACTATACGTCGGTTCTGTGTTTCACCACACCTGGCGATGGACCACGAAGCACGCCCCAGCTCCTGCGCACCCTTGAAGACAGTGAGTAGTCAGCACTGGTAGAGAATCTCAATGCTTGGTTTTGGTTGGTTGGATGCAAAAGTCAGAATTTTCAAATCTGGGTGCTTAAAGTTGAACCTCAGGTTCACAATCAGTTTGCAATCTCTTGTCAAGTTACATTGCGTCAGACAATGACCTCAGCCAGTTGTCCATGTGTGTTCTTTTGGCCTGTGGCAAGTGAATGATATTTGATATTTTTTTCGTTATGGACTAAACCTTGACAATTTTTTTTACACTGGTCAGAAAGCTGAAAGCTTCACAGTGTGGTTCAGCTAACACACAACACGTTGTTTATGTCTGTGAACCCTTATGCACTTAAATCCGTGTTCAGGCATCTGAATAAATATGAATTGATCTTCTTAGGAACTGAGCACTGGAACTTCCTGTGGAGGTAAATGATTAATTCACGATTGTTTCCTTCTGTTATTCAATATATTGAAAAGGTCTGTATCTATATTATATTGCAAGGGCTTGTATAAAAGAACCAGGATCATAACAAATGATCAAATCAAATGAGCTGGATAGTTTAGCATATAAATTATTTCCTGCATCAGAAAATGTTTTGGCCTCTGTGGCCCCTTGGAAGTGTTTGCTTAAAACGTATTTGGGACTAACAAGTCTAGCATGTGTCTGATGCAGATAACAACTAAGTTGCAGTGGCCCTCATAGCTAACTGTGTGTCCTCAGTGGTCTTGGCCCTGGCCAGCGCTTCAGTATCTTCCTGTCATGGAGCATCATAAACACTGCTGCACATTTACAGATCCAAATCAGAATAAAAAGATGCCTAATACATCCATTAAGGTATTGTTTTTAGAAATACTGCTTTGCCTTAATAGGGATCTTTTAGGTTAGTCAATGTTCCCGTAAAGAAAAACCTGATTATCATTAACATTCACAGAAGTGAGGCCCAAAGTGCTAATCCAATTTTTCATGAGATACTCTTGAAAGAACATGAAGAAAATTAAATGCTTTCCCATGGATTTTCCTTTTTTGGTTAGTCTCCTCCATATGCTAGACCTGAGCCCCAAAAGCAGATCGTAGACTTAAGCCTTTGCTTGTTAGAAGATCACAGAGATAGCAATTTAGCTACCAGAAATCTGTGTGAACCATTAATATGAACTCACACATGTTTATCTGGGGCTGAAGCCAAAGGCATGGAGGACAGAGAAGCATGCATTAGGTTCTTGTGTGTAGTATTAACTTTTTTGCCTGTTTTCCGAAGGAAATGAAGCTTTTGACAATGATGATTTGTAAATGTATTTGACTGTCTGTCTTAGGTTCTCCAGCGACATTTGAACCCTGTGGCTAATTTCAGCAAGTACAGAAGAGTAAGAAACCAAAGAGATGAGACTCCTAAGATTTTGCAAAAACTAATCAGCTGGGAAGAGGAAAGAGGCTATTAATATTTCTGCTGAAGGAAAGGCTGCAGAAATGAGCCTTAAAGACTTTGTGCAAAGTGGGAGAAAGGGCACAGTCAAGGCACTGGTTGCATCTCAGGGAAATGTTGGGATCACATGCCATTTTGAACACAAAAAAATTCCATCATGAAACATAAAACAAGAGAAAGCCAGACTTGTATTTTGTAAAACATTTAAAACATTTCTTGGTGTATGCAGCTGTATGCTACGAGGAGCTTCAGCAGTAGAGATGAGCAGGATTTTTTTTTTTTTTTTTTTTTAATCCTTCAGAATTGCTTTCCTTAGTTTTCACGGTGACTGAGAAGTTAAGTGCAGGATGCTATAATGCATCTTTGCGGAGAACTCGTTGAATCTAAGTTGCTTCAGGATTTATGTGGTGGGAAAAAAGATTCAAAAGGACTGTCATTCATGTTCTCAGGTGGTAATTTTCTGTCTGTATAGCAAAGTTAGGCAATCCTTTAGAAAAAAAAATAGTGGAAACAGATCTGTTTGCTGATGAACTGTAGGTCAAATAAAATCTGACATCCAGTCAGAAGCAATGTGTCCTGGCTTGGAGTAACCTGCACCTGTTTTTCATTATGACATTAAAATTGGACTGCAACTGCAGGAGCTAATTGGAGTAAAGCTTTGCGAGTATGCGACTTGCATGTCTGCAGATACATGGTCCCAAATAGTGCATAATTGCTGTGCTCTCGTTGGGTATTCCTGAGATCACTACCAGATCAGCAATTCTTTCTGTAATGCTTTGACTACTAGATATCACAGAATGGATTTGGAAATTTTCCTCACTAGGATTGCAGAATTGCAAATGTGGTTGTAGCTGACCCACTGGCAGGCTTTTTTTTTTTTTTTTTTTTTTTTTTTTTTTTTAGTTGGGGAACTTCATTCAGCTATACGTGGTTTTGGCCTCTGGAGGGGAATGAGAAACTGGACTAAAGTGAAGAGGAAACAAAATATGAAATTGCAGACGAGAAATTGCCAACTGATGTCAGTGGTGCTGGAGGATACTCGGGCAGGGATCCAATGACAGAAGCACAGTGAATATAAAGTGAACAAAAACTCCTTTTTCCAGTACATCGATTGAAGACAGAACAGCAGTTGGATCAAAAATCAGTCAGGATGTCTTCCTTGAAGATCAAAATTGAGGGAGGATGGCATATTCTTGACAGTCATTCCATTTTATGCTCTTTCATTGCACACTAGGGAGCTGAAATTTTTAAGAGCTCTTGAGCTACATCATAAAAATCCTTTAAAAGTTTCACACACTTGTATTCATTTTACAGAAGACAGTTGCCATTATGTTGGACGTTTTTAGAGTTGTTTTGAGAGAATCTATCCAAGCAGTGGCTTGGTGACTGTCCTTACTTTGACCTTGCATAGGCAAAAGGCTCCTTCCAGGTGCAGGGGGTGCTGGTGGTGTTGCTACAGACCTAAGGCCAGAGAAGCGACGCACAGCAGCACAGGGAAATGCCACACACCGTCGTTGAGGGAAAAGAGCAAACGCAATCGCTCCTAGGATTGCCAGCTTGATTGTTCTAATTAGATTAGATCAAGAAGAGAGGCAGAGAACAAGTTGCGTGCAAGTCTCCTGCTGCCACTCTCTTTAGTTCTCTGCGCAGTTAGGATGATGACTGGATAAAATAATTTATCTGATGATAGCCAAAGCACTTCTTAACACCTTGCGTTCTCCCCTCTCCCCTGCAGCTCTCACTGATGTTTCCAGCAGGCTTCCAGCAGGCTTCCCTTGGCCCCAGCTCACTGTTTTATTCCTTCAGCCCTAACCTTGCCACATGAATCAGATCAAAAGTACGTGGGGTTCTTGTGTTAACAAATTTCCTTTTCTGATTGCCAGAGCCAGGAGCGGTGGCACACCTGAGTTTCACTGAGATTCTGGACACGTCTCTCAAGGTCAGCTGGCAAGAACCTGTAGAGAAAAATGGCATCATTACAGGCAAGTATCACCTGCTGTCTCCTTTTTTTTATTATTATTTTTTAAGTGTGTGTATCATTGCAGTCAAAAAATGTTTGCATAACAGAGCATTTAGGGAGAACTGGCTACTGCGAGTGCTGGTTTCCTGGTCCCTCTTTTGGGTAATTGAAATGTCAGCTAGGGCACGTTATAGAAAGTATGGGTCCAATTACTGGCAGCTCATGATTGTGGTCACTGAAAAGGCAGTCTGTATTAGAAATCAGCTCCCCACGGAGTTTCTGCTCTTGTTAAATCTGCTGTGATCTCCACCTGTGTTACTAAATTTCTGAAACTTGTGAGACGGTGCTTGGCCTTTGCCCCAAAGGTGGGGTGTTCCTACATGGAGTTTACAGCTGCAAAATCTGGATTGGCATTGCTAAGATTTGCAATCAAGACCAAGCCTGAAATCAGCAGCATCCTTCATCTGTGATCAAGTGGTCTGGCTGTGGCCTGCGTGACAGAATTTGCATGTCATTACTTAATTTTGTATAAACCATCACAAGGGTTCACAACTCTCTTGTTTCTCTTTGATGAGCTTGCCATTTGAGAAGCTACTTATCTATTTGCTGTATGCCAGTGTAGATACAACATCAGCAACTTCATTATTTTTCATAAAGGAAGCTATAAATAGTTGAGGAAAAACTCTAGTTCTTATCAACAGAAGCAATATTGTTTTCAGATAGGAAACTATTACAGCTGCACAGGATGGACATTCCATTTAACAAAGGCTTTCAAGGTTTTGAAGTGCAAGAAAGCTCCCAAATTTTAAATTACTGGAGCTAAAAATCATAGTTGGGAAGCAAAAAGATCATGTCACATGGATCAAAATATTTTGTTTTGGGACCATTGACATTGAAATGTTTAATTTTTTTTTTTTTAAGAAATTATATGATAATTTCTAAAAACTAAATACATGTTAGGAGTTTAAAAAAAAAAAAATCAGACTTTCTGGCCGCTGAACATTGAAATGTTGTATCAGTCTAATTTCCTGAAGCACTTTAACTTTGACAGTTCTAATTATTTTGATAGGACTTGCACTTGTCAGTGTTTTCTTTGTGTATCAGTAACACACACCATTTGTACATATGTCTTCCATGCTGTTTATAGTATACGTGGAGTCCTTATGCAGATCATCTTATGCCTTTATACCATAGTAACCTTCCTGAAATATGCAGATTTCAGTGGTTCGAGAACAGAAACTAATGACTTCTGAAAGCAGAGCAGTATTTATTCAGTGAAGATGGCCAAAGCCTTCAAGCCCGAGTGCTTAAATTTAGGTACCTAAAGCCAAGCCTAGCTATCTAAGCAAGATGATGTAACACCCATCCTTGTTAAGCATGCTTAGCGTTGCAGAATTGCTTTGCTAGAGCTGCCTCCCAGAATAGGTTGAAACCTGGTGGAGCAAGATGATGGACCGTGTTATACTTGGGGCAAGTTGTTTCAGAAAGAGTTAACTCAAGAAGTTCTATTGTTCATGAAGAAACACCAGTGTAAAAATGCCCGGCAAAGTTTATAAGGAAAAAGAAATGTCCTTAATGATGCAAATTGTGTTGGGGCTAGAAGAAAAGACTAGTAAAATTGTTCATGCCCTGAGTAGCTCAGAGGTTTATAGAGGGCTGCTTGGAGATCTGAGTGCTTAGGGAGGCAATTCTTCATCATTTCTGCTCATTGATATCTTTACTGGACCCTCTTGTTCCATGCACCAGAGCGGGGAGGAGGAAAGCACGGAGGGTGGTGCCTGGCAGCCAGCCTGCTCTGGGAAATTGCCCATTACTCTTGCTGTAAATTTCAGTATCTTCCTCGTTCTCTCAGTAAACATTGATTTATGAGGACCTGGATGTAGACGGACAGCTTGTGATTGGGTGTACTGCTCTCTTGTAGAGAATTTACTCCAGATCAACAGAAAATTATTTCTGAAACTCCTCTGGTCATTAGTTTCCGTTAGGCAGCATTTTGTGGAGAGGGTGCAGTGCCAAAGCATACGGGAAGGCTCTGTGGCACCTTTCCTATTCTCACTTACACTGAAGCCAGAGGAAACACTCAGCCCAGGCCGCCTGGACTCCCCCGTGCACATTTCTGGCAGCGATCATGTCGGTAAAACAGAGAGCACATTTCTACCAACCACATGTCCTAAAGTTCTACCCATCTGTCAGTCATTGTGGCTTAAGTGCTACTTGGGGGTACGGCGGATGCTGTTCCTTTCCTTCAGCACTTTTTCATCTATTTTTGTTATGCATGATTACATTTGGCTTTGTGGCTGCGCGGTATGTATGTACGTATTTTTCTGTTTGCGTTTTTTTCTATGACTAGAATTTAACTATACTTTCGGGAGTGAAATATCCCAACAGTAAATGCTGCCTCTGTGCCTCTTCTTCAATTTGTGTGTGAACTCAGGATATTTTTCCTGGTGAACATTTTTTCAGTAAAGAGATACATAGAGACTGTGCACCTAATGGGTGGGAAAGCGGGATCTAATCCCTATAGTCACAAGGGAGAAAACATAAAATGTTCAAAGAATAATCACCAACATTTGATGCATATCCAAAGCTTATCTAGATGGGAGAGAAGATGTCTCGATCACTGAAGATTCTCTAGTGCATGGTGGATGAAACTTTCTATTGTTCGTAAGCAACAAACAGATGGGGAGAGCATTGAAAGTCCCCTCCTTATCTCCTGGTTATGTATTGCTTTGAGCAACCCATTTTGTTTTATTCTGAGGAGATGCTCCTTGATTCCCTCTGCCAGCCCATGTGTAGGGTTCAAAGCAGGCGTAGCAGGGTCGTCCCCAGCTCCCAGGCAGACAGATGAGCCACGGCGTGGCCTTTGCCCAGTTTCTGCTCCATGCATGGCTGCACACGGACATTCTGCTGGCTGGGGACACGGCTGCTAGTTTTGTGTCCTCTTTTGGGAAGTGGGGAGAGGCAGAACTGCACCTTCCTCGGACTCCTCTTTCTTCCACCTTGCCCTGTCTGGAACAAACAGCACCTGCTGCTTTTGGAAGAAAGGGGTGTTTGTGATGGCCGTTCTGTTTGCAACTCCTTCATGCCTCTTCACTGAGCATCAAATAGAGCAGACAGTCATCCCCCACCTTTCTGTTAACCTTCTATTAATAAAGGCAATGGAGTCCTTAAATTTTGTCAAAATCTTCATACAGATTATAATCTTGCCTGTACTACATAAACTCTGATCGCTGGTAAATGATTCTGAAGCCTTTTCAGAGAGCATCAAAATGCCATGGTGTCTCTGAGATATTGGTAAATTACTGAATTAATTAATTACCATTCTGTTGCTTACTTAAAACTGGCTCCAGGTGAGCATTCAGGAGTTTTTCCCCTTCCCTGCTCGCTGTGTATCTGGAATTGTTGAAGTATCACCCCTCTTTATCACTGCCCCCTCACCTGAAACATAATTAGTGACTGTGTGAGTACTCCGAGCCCATTTTCATGCAAAATTAGGTTAACATGAATCTCTGTCAGTGATGGTAGCTAGTGCTGGAGGAAGGGTAACATCCCACACCTCTCAAACTCTCGCAGAAATATTTGTCTGACCACGCTTTTAGTTCATGAGAAGTTTCCTTGTTGATTAATACCATAAAGTATTTTGCTATGTCAATTTGTATATGTTAATCAGCTTATCATGTTTTTTTTTAAAAAAAAAAAAGGAAAAAACCCTCAAGCCCCCCAGCTGGTCTGAATTCCTCATCTTAGATGATGGGAACAGGAACCCAGTAGGGAGTTTCTCTAGTCAGCTTGCCTCGTGCATGGTTCACTCAGTGGGATTCCTTTCTGTTAGTCCTTTTCACTCACTTCCATTTCACAGGCATTCAACAGCTATGTGTATTTTTTTTTTTCCCCCTGAGTCAAATCACAAAGAAAGCTGCAATCAAGCAAACTTTTCAGACATGCTCTCTGGAGACTGGCACAGTAAGGTTCAAATGGGTTCAAACGAGAATAAAGTGGGACTGGGCAGGAGGAGGACAAGCAGATTTGGAGGTAAAATTGAGCAAATCAGACAGTAGAAAGTTTCAAAAGTTCTTGGAAGGCAAATGGTTATAAAAGTGATAAAAAGGAAAGCCTGGTTATGATAGAAGAATAATATGGAGGTCAGGGTGAGTGCAGTTTTGGACAATACGTTGGCTACACTATGGTTTTGAAAGAAAGGATAATGATTCACCCTGCTAAAGGACTTGTGCGAGGAACAAGCAGTGGGGAGTAGAGGGTTTTCAGTTCCTAGAAGATTCCCACAATGTTCCTGCCTGATTGTTATTGTCAGATTTGTAAGTATTTCTAGATATACAGCAGTGTCGGTTACTTCAGCCTGGAAAAGGAGTAGCCCTACTAAGCACATACAGATTTTTAATTAGATATTCTAGCTAGCGAGATGATGTTATATTTTCCACTGTTTCTTCCTGTTCGCTTCATAGAGTTCACAAAATGAAAGTCCACCCTTCTGCGAGATTATCCCCAGGTTTCCTAGCCATTTCATGGCAAGCACTGTGTAGTCAGAGAAAGAGAGACAGACTGTTAAGACTCCGTGTCCTCCCCCATCTGTAATCTGACGGGCAGACGATACCGCATGGGGTACCTACATCAATTGCTTATTGGAAATAAAAATTTAAGAAAAATACTTGGGTATTTTAGCCAGTGTTTGCTTCAACTTTTTTTTTTCTGCTTATGAAAAGTGATCATAATGGAGCAGAACAGGAAACAAGTCATACCACCATTGATCACAAGCAAGTCTTGCAGAAGCAGGAATTTAGCAGTCTCTGGGTTACTGTGTAACTGTGTTTTAGAAGAAAAACTAGACCCTACCACTGCTATGGCCCCCTGACTTCTGTGTAATTGTTTTTCAGGGTACCAGATCTCCTGGGAGGTGTATGGCAAGAATGAATCTCGTCTTGCCCGCACGCTACCCAACACAACGCTGGAGTACAAGATCACGGGGCTGTCATCTCTCACCACCTACACAATCGAGGTGGCAGCTGTGACCGCAAAAGGGAGCGGATGGGTCACGTCCTCCACCATCTCTTCTGGTGTGCCCCCAGGTTGGTAAAACTCCATGAAACAAATTAAAAAGGGCTGATTCTTTGTGTTACATGTTCTAAAGATCACAAATTACTTTGGTTCAGTAATACTAAAAATGGTTTTATTGATAAAGCATTGGAATTCTTTACCACATAATTTAAATTTAATTTTTAGAACAGTTTAAAACAGTAACATGACATACTTGCAATTTAAAATTACCAGAAAGTTGAGGCTGTTCGATACAAATACAAAGAAAGTTGTAGGGATGGCAGAAGGAATGGACAAAGTAGTAAAGTGGATACAATACAGAATCTCTTGACATTTACAAAGTAACGTAAGAATGAAGCCTGAATCAATTCAAAAAGTGTTGCTTTGGGGGAAAAGTGGAGTTTGGAGGCTGTTAAAATGGAAAGGTTTTTCCATTTATAAGTAGTATAGCTTATGTCACTTATGAGAACACATTTGTCTAATGAAACTAAAATCTCATTTACAAGATTTGGGAGTGGTGGCCTGAGAAAGATTTGGGAGGAGGTACTGCATTGTCTGAGTTACCCTTTGGGCACCTGTAAATCAAGCCGGTTTGCATTTTGTTTTTAAAATTCTGCACTGTCTGTCATCCAGTATAGAAAGCAAACTAAAAAGCCCATTCTTACCTCAAACAAGCAGTTTCAGTTAATTTATGGGTTATACAAGTAGAATTTTCCAAAGTGGAGCAGTTAGTGTACATCACTGATGGTAATCCCATTTTTCCCTTTTCCAGTGTTTTTGAACTTTTCTGTATGTCTTGAAGTATACTTGCCTTTCTTTTCGCTAATCATAGGTAATTGTGACAAGCTGTAGACTAGATCAATGCCATGCTCCCTGTTGTTAGCCAGATAACAGCATTCTCCTACTTAGTCAGGGTTAGTTTATCGATCGTAGTTCCCACAAATGTGAAGTAAGAATCAAGAAATATTGTGTATTTGTGCATATGTGAAACATATGCCAAAAAGCTGCCTGTTTTTTGCCAGTTGCATTTGCACATAGTACAACACTGTGAATGATTACTGATTATAATACTAATTTCCATTACTTACAAATGCAAATACTATTGGGAATTTATTCTAAACAAACTATATTTAATCTCTTTCCTGGGCTTACTTTTGTTGATAATTCAGATAATATTAAAAATGTAAATGCCGCTGTAAGCTTGACTGATGTGAGGCAAAGATCTGATTGGGGCTGCAGATTTTTCCCTGTAGAAGGTCACCCTCTTTATTTGCAGCAGAAATATGCTTTCTATACTGGATGACAGACAGTGCAGAATTTTAAAAACAAAATGCAAAGCGGCTTGATTTAAAAAAAATTATCTACTTTATTCAGGCATCAGAAATGCCCTCTAAAACCCATCTGTTATAGGTCAATAAAAGAATCACAAAATCTTCCCCATATTTTGAGTTTTTTCTGTTGTTAATGTATTAAAGTTCTATGTACTTTAAGTAGTAAGTAAAAATTATTGTCATTTAATTCTGGAGAAACAGAAGTACAGTGGAATTAGGTGACTTGGCAAGTGACTTGGCAGATCTGGAGCTGGGAAGTACCTTCTTCCCTGAGCCACCATGCTTTGCTGGTTATGCAACTTCTCTAAAATAGTAGCTGTAATTCTGTAGATGGGCTCTTTATTTTCTTGTTTGATCTATAAAATTGTGGTGCATGCTCAGAACAGCAGAAATAGTAATGCTGTATGTAATACTCTGACAAAAAGAAAAAAAAACCCACAGCTATTTATTATAATTGTTATCAAGGTATTTTATATGCTGAAACACTGAATGTCAACACGTGTTACTTGGCCCTAGACGAAGAGCGTTTCCACCTCTCATTTACATTTCTATTTCTTCAGAACTTCCAGGTGCTCCATCCAACCTGGTGATTTCCAACATCAGCCCTCGCTCTGCCACACTTCAGTTCCGGCCAGGGTATGATGGCAAAACCTCCATCTCCAAGTGGATAGTCGAAGGCCAGGTATGTCCCTGACAAAAAGCTCGTAATGAAGATTCTGAGGGGTTAAAAAGGGTCTAAGTAGTGAATTGCTGTTTGGATTACAGTTTTTGTTTAACTTTGGATCACAGCTCTTCAGTAAATGGCCTGATAGTAGCTGTTCAGGGGGTCCTGGCAAGGTTGGAATGCAAGGGAGCTCGAGAGGCTTAGGTGAGAAATGGCTGTGCGGTAGCCAGTGAGGACAGG